CGCGGCAAATTGTTGGCGTTATGTGTGGTGTTGAAACCGTTGAAACCCTCCCTTTGTGTTTTGTTTTTCCCGCTTCCACAAAACATCCCCCCTTAGAAAGGTAAGTGCCATGTTGAGAACCTGTCTATAAGTTTTCAGCGCCTCTAGTGACTGGAGGGGTCAGCTTTTGTAATTCTGGATTTATTGGCGAATGCAAAACGGAATTAGGTTTCGTTCGGTATCTTATTCGTTCCGATGGATCGTTTGCACCATCGTTTGATTCTAGCGATTCAACACCACCACTTTAAAGTTTCTACCATTTTTTGGCATAAAATAATTGTGCCAAAAAGAAGAAACTCATAAAATCGGTAGCGTTGAAGCGCCTTCAAGGTAAAATTGACTAAGAATTAAGATGACAAATTTAGATATTTATTGAAGTTTGAAACAAAAAATATAATAGAATATGGAATTAATTAAAATTATTGCGAAACAGTTTTTTTTTATGTAAGTATACATACATACATAGGTAGGTAATGCTAGTTAAGTTAAAGATAATAAGGACAGTTACAAGAAGTAATGACGTACATTTAACAATAGCTTGATGAAAAACTTAAATCGTAAATAAAATGACAAAAGAGGTCCTTTTCTCACAATCCAAAATCGTTGTTAACCTAACAAGTGAGGAAAGTGTTTCTGCACGTGATGGAAGTTGCACGAATGCAAACAAAAGCAAACGTTTAAGTCCAGAAAATACACTTTCCGCATGTGTTAGGTAGAAAGTTTATGTAGTTATACATAATATAAAGCTCATTCAAGAAACTGATTTCGCCTGGATGATAGAATAAATATTTTTGATAATAGTCTATACCCTTTACCACTAGCTTTAAGCAAAGACAACGCCAACAACTTCTCGTCCAATGTAAATCGTCTAGCTTTAGGCTTTTGGTTTTGAGTACGGACTTGGCTTAAAATAAAGCTGTATATCAATGGATTGACGTGGTCTACGAGCCTTTGAAATTTGGTTGATGATGCAAGTTATTCAGCAGCAGAAACTTTGGATTTAAATGACGACAACCTTCTACTGATTCTTCTTAACTTATTGCTGGATTCTATAACTTTGGAATAAAGATATTTTTCCCTTGGGGATAGGAATTTTTGCCTAGTGACGTTAATGTTCTTTAAAATTTGGCATCGTCTCTCATGACCTGCAAAAAAATAAAATAAAATCAAGATTGTAGACAAGCTTTTCGCACATTCAGCTTCTAATTTTTCTAGCATTCGACTGCAAGTTTTAGTAATTAGTAGTCTTTTATAGTAGTAGTCCTACTTGGAGTACTTGGGTTAGGATGTTTTAAAATTCAAATACCTACTCCCAAGCGGGTGGTTATTCATTAAGCAATAACACTTACCAATAAAAGTTTTAAGAGACAAAGTTGGTGACTTTTTTATGTTTGCAGATGTGATGGTTCCACTTGGTGTAACAATGTCTGCCCGAATTGCAGAAGTTTCAGTAGATAAAAATTGACGACATGAAGGGCCTGGTTGATCTAAAACAGAAATTTCGTTAACAATGATTCTACCAAAAAAGTTTGGATACACGCATTGTAGATTATGGTGTACCTGTATGTAACCAGGAATATTTTAATTATTGTGTCTCCTGATAAAGGAATAAACATTAAAAAAAAAGAAATGAATAATAGTAGCTTTGTTCCAACACAGCAAAAAACCGTACAATGTACCGTCACGATTCCGCGCAGAAACTAAAATTGGTATACTGATGAGTGGTTTCGAAACCGTTCATGGGACGATTTTTTGACGTGTTGGAACAGACTTATTATGTTTACCTACCTATATCAATCATAGTTGCGAAACTAATTTCTGAAGACGTCTTAGGACTCTTACGAGTTTCAACTGGTCGATCTCCACTTTTTGCCATTTTGGTGATTGTGGTTTATCAATTAACGACTCCTCACTGTTTTTGATAATTGGGGCTAAAATTGAAATTAATTTTAATGTTTCTGACCTATGCTCCTTTAAACCCGAATTCTAACACGTCGTTAATCAGAACTATGGGGAGGAGTAAGTGAAAATGTAAGTACGTCTTTCTCACATATATCTAGTAGTATTAACTTACCTTCAGGGAGATACAGCAAAAGCGCAGCATTCCATGTGAGTCCTCGTCTGGCTTTTGGATCGCCAACAATAAATTCTCGAGGAAAATGTCTTGTTCACACTCTATAATTATTATAAGCCTTCTCGACACTGAGGCTATTTAGCAAAGGATTGCGAACTTTTATTAGCCATTGTTTCATTTTTTCGGCATCTTTTGGAAACCGGAAATAGCTGCGGTATTTGTCGCCGCACCCCGGAACACAGCATTTCTGATGCTTTCCAATTAACAAACTGAGAGAAGACATTTTGAGATAATAATTATTGATAATTGATAGGTAATTGATAATTCTAAATGTTTGGAGAAGTCAAAATTTAAATTTTGACGACTGGAAATGACAAAATAAACTTCAAATCTTGGCGCACGCTCCGGCAGGAAAAAGAGAACTTCAATAGGTCGATTGAAGCGCCTCTAGTGATTGGAGGGGAAAGCTGAAACGACTAGACTGACGTCTCTCATAAGACTTACATTTCTAAGGGGGGATGTTTTGTGCCCGCTTCTTTGAACGAAGTGATAATGTCAGGTTGACAAGGTTGGTGGTAAGTCCACCTGCTGTGCCGGTAGAGCAAAATTTTTAGTAATTTAAACTATGGCGCCATCTAGCACCCCAAAGCGGTACTACATAGTGAAGTAATCTATTCGAATGAAGCGCCTCATATAATTACGATCGAACTTCACAAGTTCGTTTGATCGTACAACTATATTAACCTTTTTCCAACTCGAAATGAAGCAAATAGAAAACGGGTACCTAGTTTAAGTTCAGAATGTATTACAACAGATAGCAGATGCGACAAAAGTGAGTCTCGCAACAATTGCAAGTATTAAAATTGCCCTCTGATTGGTCAATACTACTTCAGAAACGCGTTTGTAAAATGCTAGTGGGAACATATATTAAAATTCAATAGTAATTAACCACCAGTAGCTTTTTGTAGGTGATATCAATGACATAATCAATGGACATACGTTTTTTGCCACCAGTATCACGTGACTTTAAAATGGTATTTGTCGGACTATAACATATTTATTGGCAATAAGAAAGATCCACAACTAACAGCAACGACAAATTAAAAAAATAATAAAAATAAAATCCAAAATCGAGAGAATAGTGTAAAACTCATGTTGCAGAAGGCTATTCTCGCACTCATTCACTCGTGGCCAAATTTCGAATTCGTGCGAGAATATGTGGCTTTCTACAGCTTGTATTTTAATATAGGTACAAAAAATAGTTATTTTCCTAACAAGTGCGCAAAGTGTTACTACGAAAAGACACTTTGCGCACGTGTTAGGAACAAAATTTATCCTACGAACCTCATATCAGGTAGGTAACAACAAAAATTAAAAAAAAAAAACGATAATTTGTTCAATTATTTTCAATTAATTCGAAGCGAACCTATTCATTCATCAAAAAATTACATAACAAAAAAACAGGAAATTGAAATCGTCGTCAGAGCTGTTCATCTTAAAGCCATCTGTCATGCATCAAGGTCCTTATTCTTGGAACAGGGGAGCAGCGGAACACTCGTTCTCCTGGGAACGCTGCTCCCTGTTCCAAGAATAAGGACCCTGATTGTATGATCGGAGTCGGATCGGAAGAATGCATGACAGATGTGATGTGTCCCTGGCTTAAAGCGTTTAGATATGATGCAGAAGAAGTTTGTAGATTTTTGCATGTAAATGGAGAACACAAATCTGACAATGTGTCAAAGTTAATTATGGTCGAGTTCGTTTTTGTCATCTTTTTCGTCGATTTGCTCAGAAATTTTGACAGGCACGTGATTTGTAAACTGAAACTATCTTATCCAGTCACGTGCCTGTCAAAATTTCGGAGCAAATCGACGAAAAAGATAACAAAAACGAAGTCGCCCTATATTCAGTGTTTGTATAGATGTTGGCTGATACCTATAGAAACGATAGACACAGAGGAAAAATTTGTCATCATGTGTCAAAGCCGACAGGTGCACTTATTGTTGCTTGACAATTATTTCTTTTTTCGGTACTCAGTGCGGATACGGGCCTTATCTGCACTGAGTGCGGAAAAGTGTAACTTTGAGAACGGTAATGCGTGCGGAAAAGTACTACTTTGCGCAAGCTCGTAGGAAAAAATACAATTTCTTGAGATATTTTCTTACAGACGCTTTTCTTTATTTTTAAGTACTCACTTTTACTCCTATTACTATAGACAAACCATTAGTCATGATATAACTGGACAATAAACAAATGGAAATCTACGTTGTTAGTAACTAAAAGTACGTACGTGTAATCAGGTCAATGGTGTAATCCCTCAGCAAAGTTTACCCTCAGTCTTAAATTGACAAATTAAAATTGAAACTTTTCAATTTTCAATAAATAACAATTTATAGGTAAAAAAAAGTAAATTTAAGACTATTGAGCAGGGATGTGCGTCTACACGTAGACTTTCATTGTCTACTTTACGTGTAGACAATGTAGACAACGTGTCAACAATGTAAAATAATATAAATGACGTTTAATTCTAACCTCACACTTTCCTTTTTTTAATTTTTTTTTATTTTATTATTGGTTTTCCTGATATTTTATAATCAGTGAATGCTGATATCGAAGTGATAGTGATAGTATAGTAACTTTTGATATTTTTTTTCGAATTTTTTAAAATAAGTTATAGTTTACGCCGCATGTAGACAATGTGTAGACAAATGCTCACGTAAACAATTCGAATTGTCTACGCGTAGACAATCAATTGTTTACGTTGACATTGTCTACAGGCACATCACTGCTATTGAGAGATAAAATGATCCCATACCGGCCATACCCCCTATTTTCATAAATTTTTGATGATGTGATATGCACAAACTCAAATGTTCCTTACCCTTACCTTGTGGTGGATCGCCGCGTGTCCAATTTATTGGCTGAAACAGGCAGGTGAGAATTTGAAGGATGAAATAAATGACAGCAATGGCTTTATGACACAAACAGCTGGGCCGAGTTCAGAAATAGTTGTATTCCTTTCAAGAGTTTGAAACACTCGAGCTACTCGCTCCGGTGTTTAGTAGCCCCCGATGTGCAACAAAAACTTTTCGAAAGGAATAAGCGCGTGAAGCCCCGGAGCTGTTCGGGAGCTCCTCCTAGGTGAAAGGAATACAACTATTAACGTACAGGGTGCGAGTGCGATTTTATGGGTGTGCCTGAATTGACAATTGGCCATTGGGCCCATAGCACCGTCTAGCATTTTTGAACAGCTAGAGCGTCGCACCGGCAGTGTTGCCAACTTTCGAAAATCAAATTTCCCACAAGCGAGTCCAAAAATTCCCTTTTTGAAAAAAAATTCCCACAAATGCACAAGATACTGACAAAAAGTAATATGCAATGCAAATCTTTAGTAGATAGATTAGATTTTAAAAGAAATTAAATTTGCATTATGTTGCAACAAATCAGATAGTAATAACAAGTCATCCGTTGGAGTTTTTATTTGTACCGCCTGCTAGATTCTAGAACTAAGCTGGAATCGAGTTCGAACTTTTTTGTTCCATCATATTTATTGTTCGGTAAATCCCCGAACTCGAACTCTCAAACTCGACTACCTCAATGGTCGATTCGATTCATTCTGAATCTGAAATGAATCACAATTCACAGACACTCTGTGCTGCTGTTGAAAGGGCGAGACCCATTATTCGCTCGCGAACGTCAAGGTGGAAAGGCATACATTCGAAGAATCATTTTTGAGCGCATTCGAAACTTGCACAGGTCACGATCGATCTGCGATCGGACCGCGAATGTCTTGCGTCCTTATGTTATATGCGCTAATTGTTAAGAAATATCCCACGAATATCGCTATTTTGGTAGAAATTTCCCTTTTCCCTTTAGTGTTACTAATTTCTCACGAATCGGGAAATTTCCCACGAGTTGGCATCACTGCGCACCGGTGACACACTCACACTAGTCACACTGCACTGGGTGTGTCATTCCTGAACTCGCCCCTGTTGATTTGGTGTTTGTGATTTTCTGTTGGTTGATTTTGTGTAATGTTGTGGTTGTTTTTATTTGTTGATATTTCAGTTTTTTGCTTTATTAATATACTCCCGAGCCGAAAACAACTGGTGCATTATTGCTCTAAACTGTATTTTTCCCCAAGATACGTTTTGACATTGTCAACTTTGAAACATAAACAATAGTCAATACCGCTTGGCCAGGGTTGCCAGACGTCCCACCTTGGGAGGGACAGTCCCGCATTCTGTTAATCGGTCCCGCTTTTTTTTAAATTAATTTCAGGTCCCGCTTTTCACGTGAATTGTCCCGGTTTTCCCGCTTTTTCCACCCAATCTTTACATTTAGTGCAAAAAACACGCTCATTTTACAACTTGTTACATAAATAGCTATTGCTACATTTAAAATCGACGCAAAAATCAAATAATGAGCCTGAATCGCAAGCTTTTCATCTAGGTCTGCGGGTGACGTCACCACTATTAGCTGCTGGCATGATGACGTCACTCGCAGACCTTGTGGACTCGAGAACCGGCGAACGTATGCCTTCTCAGGATGAGCAATCCTATTAGTTTACAATTCTTGGGTTTTAATAATAAATGTTGTCTGTTGTAGGTATAAAAATGTCAAAAATTCCAACAAAATCCAAATCTTTCAATGCACAAACAAACTAGCATCTGCAAAAATCTTTTTTTGTGGCCATTGAAAAATAAACAACTTTCGTCAAAAATCATTTTTTCTATGACCGTTATGGCCGTTTCCACCAACGCAAATTTAAGTTTACTTAACGTTAAGTGCCGCTTATATTATAATTTCTTTTCCACCAGTCTAACCTAGTCTCATTAAGATACGCTTAACTAAGCCCAGGAATTTCTAGGCTTATTCCTCCCTTAACAGAGTGGCGATGATTTGCGCAAGCAATTTGCATCATGCTTTTGTTGATATGAGCAAACCTTAAAGTTGATGCTTCACAGAAAATAGCAAAAATTGAATTGAGAGAAATTTTCTTAATTTTCTAATTTCTGGTGGAGTTTGCGTTGTTGGTGTGTTTACGAAAATTATTGTTTGAAAAATGGATATAAGCAGATGATTTGGAAGTATTAGATTTGTTTGGAGATGAGATGTGGTTTCCCCAGAAAAATTTATGACAGAAATAATAATTTTGAGGAGATGGACAATCTAATGTTTTTTGAAGATTCAGATTGACAAAACCCACTGTGTTGCAACTTCTAGAACAAATTGAAGCGTCCTTAGAATTTTCTAATGATGGGTGAATTTGGAGTGATTGTGTTAAACTCATTGACTAATTTTCGCCAAATTTTTGTTTTTTCTGAAACCGATACTGCGTCCGTTTTCTTGTTTTTTATTATATGTTTGTACTTTGCCGCAAGGTTTACCAGAAGATCTTTTTCTTGGGCAGTATAGTATAATTTCCACCTCTTACCTCTTATTTTTTCATTTTCATTCATTGTTGAACGGACGTGTTGTCGTGTTGTCGCGAGGTATTGTAAATCACAAATTAAAAGTGACCTTTTTATTTTTATTTATTTAAACCACAAATCTATCGTCAATAAGTTCAAACAATTTATTTTCTGGACACATCAAACCACTATGCAAAGCCGAGTTTGAGGTTATGATGGCTAACAAAAGCAAGGTTGCCAAAGCTAAACAATACTTAGTTAAGATTCATCAGAAAGGCGGTGGTGGAATGCAAATTTAATTAAGCGGTGCTTACATTTTAAGGGACACTTAGATATTCTCAGCTTAGAGCTTTATTGGTGGAAACGGCCATTTTTAGAGGATGAAAATAAACAACTTTCGGCATATGTATTTCACCTTAGTCGAAAAAGTCACTTTCGCTCAAGGGGGTTTATAGGGGGGGCACTTGCCCTTTGCCTCTGGATAGGAACAGTCCCGCTTTTTCATTTCATAGATCTGGCAACCCAACGCTTGGCCCTAATTGGTCGCAAAATGCCGTGATCCTGCAGGTGAGGTACCTATCCTTTTACATGGTTGGAAAACGATACCTTCGTCGAATGTAGGTACACAGCATCTTGCGACTAATAAGCGGCATTGTTTATGTTTCAAAGTTGTCACTGTCAAAATCTATCTTGGGAAAAAATACACTATAGATACGTAAAATATTATTAATACATAATATCTATCTATCTCTCTGGTTGCAATAATGTCCCAGTTGTATTCGGCACGGGGATGTAAGGTATAATGTTTTCTGGACAATAAAGTACTTTTCTCCGAATGACAGTAAAAGTGACTTTTTAATTATACTTGACAGGCTCAAAAGGTGTATTTTTACTGCCTAGGAATTGAGAGTTCGTTCCTAGGCAACGTTTCATGTAATAATCTTAATCAATCTGGTTTTCAAAATTGACAAACAAAGGTAAGTAGACGTTTATCACCTCAATTATTTAAAATATTTTTTTCTCCAAACGTCAAATAAATGACACTTTGTTAACACCTGTCGAGATGTTAGTTGTTTCAACTTCACCGTTCAGTGTTGTCCCTTGATTTGTATTGTTTTTTTTTTTTTTAATTTTTATGCTTGGCAACCCCGCTCGTACTTTTAGTGTCACTGAACCATTCACTTAGAGCGGGTATTATAAAACTACTTTGAGAGTTAACTTAAAGTTAACTTCTGGAATTACATGTAATTCAAAAAGTTAACTTTAAGCTAACTGTCAAAGCAGTTTTATAATACCCGCCCTAAAACTCAAAAATAAGGCCTAAACTGGAATATGGAATGAAACCGTATCACTCTGTTGGATTGATTGCTGTCACTTTTGTTGGCAGCAGTAATAAACCCTGCGTTTTTATTCATATACAGGGTGTCCCACGAGGTTTCTCCCAAATGATAACTTCGGAACGCATCATCGTATGTTCCAATGTATAATTTTTTTTCAATTTCTTTAACAAAGCCTCAACAAATATGGTATTGCCGATTTTGTAATTTAATTTTCTAACGAAAAATGCCATGATATACCATGAGTTACATTTAAGATTCGAAAGATGACGTCACTTGACCGAAATTGAAGTGAAACTGGTGAAATTGGATGACAATGGTAGAAGCGGCACAAAAAGTTACCCAGATCCTCAAAATTTCAATTATATTGGATGACGCGTTCCGAAGTAATTACCTGGGAGAAACGTCGTGGGACACCCTGTATAATACCACAAGAGAAAAAATTTTGTTGGCAAAATTTTCGAATGGTATGAAAGTTTGTTGCTCATAAGATTTTTGTCAAAAAAAAATGTCATTCGCGAAATTGCCAAAAAGCAACAAACTTGAATAAAACCAAGAGAATAATTTTGCCTACATAATTTGGAAAATTTATTTTCTTCAGGTGACACTTGTCAATAAAATCAATAGGTTTTTACATTAACCACGCTGAAAAATCATGTTGGTTTTATCCAGGTAAGAACAGGTAGAAGTTTTGTCAGTAGGAAACCGGCTGTCCCTATGTATGACATTTTGCCAGTGTAAAACACTCTAGTGAAATAGTCTCATCAAATTTTACCGATGGATCCACCATTCTATGGCCGTCATTGTCATTTTCCATTCACTAAAAAAAGATAACTAACTCATTGGTGAAGTCACCAATGAGAATAAAAACGAGGGGATATATTCAATTAATTTAATTATACAAATATAGTTTTTTTTTTTCACGTTCGAGCTCGTTTTGAGAAAAAATAGCCTGTTGCGCTGTTGCATACGGAGTAGAAGCACTTTTTGTAGTATTTGCAAGCCTCACTATGTTCGTCTCGCAAACTTACTATTTCAGCACAAAAAGTAAGGCTTTTAGGTACCTACTCCTAAGCTATTAACTCACTCTCGGTCTTCTAAGTGATTTTGCCAGTATAAAAATATGCTACAAATACAAACAAACGACTAGTTATACGAGTTTAATGTTTATTTATTCAAA